TCCACCCAGTGCATCCAAGATGTAGGTGACTTTGTTTCTTCAGTAGAACACAAGCGAAGATTTTTAACTCAAACCGTTGCAGTCTGTCAGTCCTATAATGTAAGTGGACGGGAATCACGGATTTGAGATTCATAAAACATACACAAACAAAACCAAATTAAACCCTGCAGCTCTTGATGATACATTGATGTGTAAAGACAAGAAACTGAACAGTATTTATATAGTTTTTTACCTCTGATTTTCACCGTAATGTCTGAACTGTCCTGAGCAACCTTCGCGTCTTCTTCTTCAGCCACCTATCTCTCAAATGGACCATTGACACTCTATCTACAATCTCAATTAGGAGTGTCAATGGTCCGTTTGAGAGATAGGTGGCGGTAATGCACTTATAAGTCTGCGATCCGCCGTAAAGCAAGCAAGAAGAAGAAGACGCCTCAGGCGCAGGCTGAAGAAGAAGACGCGAAGGCACAGTTCAGACATTGCGGTGAAAATCAGAGGTAAAAAACGATATAAATAATGTTCAGTTTCTTGCACAGACCGATCGTTTCGTGTATTTTTATAATGAGAGTACACTGAAGATTTGAAAATAACTATAAATAAACTATATATTAATCACTGCATTTTTTTTTTCAGAAAGATGCAGTGGTAACCGTAACATTTTATTTTATGATTTAACATTTGTAAATGCTCTAAAGCAAAAGAGTTGTAAAAATTCTGAAAATCTTTTAGAGCTTATAATTTGTTTAAAAAAATAACATGTTACACATTAATGAATAAATCAGTATATATAAATTATTTAATTTAAGTTGTTTGTGATTTATTTATTTTTTGTTCATGTAAGTAACTTTCTATTCATCAAAAAATCCTGAAAAAAAATATTATTTCTCCCACAAGAAAAAAAAAAAACATAAAAAAAAATGTGTTCAGTATTAATAATAAGCGGGGGAGGCTGCCGCTGCACGTGCTACTGTTTACTCATACACCGAACGCGTCATTCTGTACCTGCATTCTCAGTTTAAATGCAGCGATCCAAAACAGTGAATCCAATCACCATTCAGGCTAAACTTTGCTTCAAGAATGAGCCACAATGCTGACGTGATCTATACCGATTCCGATATCGCCAGATAATATCTGCATCCCTAATTAAAATGGTTAAAAGTGACAGTATTACACAATTTTTATATTTCAAATAAATGCTGCTCTTTTGAACTTTCTATTCATCAAAAAATCCTGAAAAAAAATATTATTTCTCCCACAAGTAAAAAAAAAAACATTAAAAAAAATGTGTTCAGTATTAATAATAATAAGAATAAATCAGCTTTTTAGAATGCTTTCTGAAGGATCACTTGACACTGAAGACTGGGAGTAATGGCTGCTGAAAATACAGCTTTGCCATTACTGAAATAAATTACATTTTAAAATATATTAAAATAGAAAACTTTTTTTTTTCAACACCACACTTCTTTTCTCACCATCAACTAGTTATGAAGGCATTGACTGGAGTATATTTATTTTATAAATGTTTTCAGTGCTTCAGTCCATGCTCAAGTGTGATTTGGCCCAACAAGGCCTATAATACATGGAGATATATATAAATAAAAACATTTATTTACTTTTTATACTTATATGAAAAGTATGAAAAGTAAATAAAAATATTAATAAAAAACAAAATGCTAATGCTTCATCCATCCAATGGTTTGAATATGAAAATATGAAAAAAGAAATCATTGTTTTCAAAGGCTGATTACCATCATCCTCATCAATGAGACCGCACGCATTCTGACAAAATACTGATTCATCAGCCTAGCTGATTACTTCGGATTTTCAGCAAAGGGTCAAGGGACCACTGCAGCGCACATAGATATCTACAATTATGCAGAAGCTCCTTTGAGGTATGAAGTAGGTTATCCTCTGCTGACTCATTCTTCAGGTTGACGAGGTGAACTGGCAATCAGGCATGAAAGACAATTTTTTTGAAGTGGAAGGCAGCTGTAAAAGTCAGACCCCCATCATGGATAGAGAGTGGGATGAATGAAAGGATCTGTTGTGCCCACAAGCATTTCATGCAACTGTTTGAAATCAAAGCCCTGTAGTGTCCATGTGTATTGTTCTAAGATAGACTTGAATTTAAAAAAACTATTTTTTACTTGCATTTTTTAGTGTCTTTTGATGTGATATAACTAGGCTTTTCGTATCTCAGGTGTCTGTTTGGATTGGGATGGACCGTTGAGGCTGGACCAGAAACCTATATCATCTACTCTGTATGTTAGTAAACTACAAGTTAAGAGCAGCTCTCTAGCAACCACCCAAAACACCCCAATAACCACCCAGAATAGCGTAGCAACCTTTTAACAAAGCCCTAGACAACACCCTTACAAGTCAACACAGAGCAGTTCAATAGTACTTCAGTACCATTTCTTTAAGTTTTTAGGAAAATACGTTTCTGATGTTCACCTAGGCGGCATTTATTTGATCAAAACTAAAACTAAACAAACTCAATAAAACTGTGAAATATTATTACAATTTATTATAACTGTTTTCTATTTTAATATATTTTAAAATGTAATTTATTCCTGTAATGGCAAAGCTGAATTTTCAGCATCATTACTCCAGTCTTCAATGGTTTCTTCAGAAATCATTCTAATATGCTGATTTTCTGCTCAAGAAACATTTCTTATAATTATCAATGTAAACGTTTTGTGGAAAATGTGACATTTTTTTCAGGATTCTTTGATGATTAGAAATTCAAAAGAACAACATTTATTTTATTTTGTAACATTATAGATGTCTTTAATGTCACTTTTGATCAATTTAATCCATCCTTGCTGAATAAAAGTATTATTCTTTTCTTGCTAACCCCAAACCTTTAATCAATAGCTTACATTACTATTTTTACACTTGGCAGACACTTTTATCCAAAGTGATTTACTGTGCATTCATGGTTGTGCATTGAAACCAATGACCTTGGTGCTGAGCTACAGAATAAAATAATAAAGCTGTGGATTTAGATTTTTTCTTAGACAAAGAACATTTCGGCACTAATTGATAGGACTGGTTCTCAAGGTTTAAGCAACTTGGTCGCTAATGAATCTAGAGTGAATTTTTAAACAATCTATATACATCTTTAAAGGTCTGCTGGGACTTTTTGGTAGTTATTTTAGTCAGAAATGGATTCTGTCTCGACGTGTAGAATGCTGAATAACATGAAAGTAACAAAAGCATGAATTTGGTGTAATGTTGAGCATGGTGTAAAAATCCAGCATTAAAAATTACCACCGAACTGCATCAGAAGTTTTATATTTGGGAAATAAGATGCCTTCAACCCACAACCCTTCTGTAGGTAACTGTTACACACTGGTAGATGAGCTATAGTGTATTGGCAGCCATGTTTTGGAAGATATTAAGTGGGATGAACCTTTCTTTGGGTTGTATAATGGTCAAGGAGGGCAATTTGCAAAACCAATGCATCCTATAGTGCAAATACTATTCACTTGCCCCACATTTTAGGTGAAAATGCCTCCATATGCACTGCCAAACTCATCCAAGATAGGTTTCATGGACATCAGGATACATACCTTCCCTGAGCTTCAATCACTCAGAACACGCAAGAAACCTTCATCCACCACTGGATACCTTCCTTGGGCCAAGTGCATGGACCTTACACCCTAGTTAAATTTAGACAGCGTAGACTAATGAAAACGCTATGGAAATGAACCAGTGTCACATTTGTATAATTATTCTGCAGGAAGTTAGTGCTGTCAAATTAGTATTTGGCTGGACCATTGGAGGCATCTCTCTGTATAATAATTAATCAGTGTTTTGTGCATGAAAATAACACTTTAATGTAGTAAATAAATGCTGGAATACATATATATATATACAGTTTTTGTACAAGAAAATCACAAAAGAAAGTATAAAAATATAAACATATATACAGTACATAAATATACACACATATATATATATATATA